TTTGGGGGGGGGAGTGGTGGGTGCGTGAGTGATTGGTGTTGAGCGACATGTACTTTGTGCAACACAGTACACGCAAATCAGGAGACACAAAAAAAAAAAATACCAACACCCCATCCTCGATCACCAGCCAACGACAACAACACCACCATCACCACCACGGCATCGCCATTCGCAATACCGCCATACCGCCGTGTTGAATCCGAGCGCGACGCTGCGCCGCACGCGCTGGGCGATGGGCGGGTGCAGGTGCGCTGCGATGAGCACGAGAAAGTCGATGAGGGTAGCCCACACGGCCGGGTGGTTGCGCGACGTGTGCCGGAGGAGGAGGATGCCGGGCTCAATGTTCATGATGTTGTCGCCGCGCTCAAACACAAGCAGGTCGAAGAACAGCGCCTGGAACCAATAAAAGTGGGGGGGATGGGGGATGTGAAGGAAGGAGGTGGGTGCGTGAAACTTGATCATTGTTCGCGTGTGAATGGTTGTGTGCACGTGTGCATGTGTGTATGTGTGTGTGTGTATGTGCGATGTGCGAAGTGGCGAGGAGGTTGAAGCGCGCCTGACTCCCATCTCCCGCAGCATGGCTGCGACCACCACCAGCCCTCTCGCCCGTCCACAACACCAACTTCAATCACCGCGAGTGCCCACCAGCTTTGCGTTCTGTCCGCCGGCGTTTGTGCTGCACGACATCAGCAGCTGCAGCACAACCTCAAACCGCTTTACAATCGGAGACGCCAGCACCTGCGCATGGGCGGTAATTGCCGGGGGATGCGTGGGTGCGTGGGTGAGGAAACATGGGGGTATGTGGGTGAGGAGAGAAGGCAACTGTGCGCAAGTTTGCACCCTTACGTACGCACACGTCACACATACACACACGTAAAAACACACGCGCACGTCACACACATGCACACACACACACACACACACACACACACACACACACACACACACACACACACACACACACACACACGTGTCACCTTGTTGCTTGGGTGGTAGTTGCAGCAGATGAAGCGGATGAGGTCTGCAACGAGCGGTTCCGCCCACTCGCCGCCGACGTGGCGCTCCGTGAACCATCGCACGTGCTTTGTTGCCTCACACGTGTGCAGCTGATGCGATGATGGCAGATGAGTTGGGAGGGGTGGTTGGGGGGATGGGGCATTAGGAAGGACAGGATGGGTGACGCGAGGGTAGGATGAGTCAAGTGTGGGGATTGATATTGACGCAACAAAACACATTCGCTCGAGTACAGATACACGTAAACACAGACACACACACACACACACGCAGACACACACACACGCAGACATGCACACACACAAATACACACAAATACACGCACAAATACACACGCACATAAATATACATAAATACACGCACAAATACACACGCACACACAACCCAAGCGCTGCGCACGTGTGTGAGGATGAACATGAGGTGGGCTTCGACGAGCGGTGGAATCCGCATTGCAATCACGCGTCGTGAACTGCGGGTGAACAGCACAGACGCAATGCTGCCAACAACGGTGGTGGTGGTGATGAAGATGGTACTGTGAGGAAACTCGGAGGCGAGAGGAATATGCTGGGCAATCTAAACACACACGCACACACACACACACACACAACTACACGCACAACCACACACACACACACACACACACACACACACACACACACACACACACACACACACACACACACAC